ACTGACATAGTATTTTCTGTAACCCTTAGTCAATCTCAGTCATGGAATAGAAAAAAGAACAGTTGTATAGAACAGTTATGTCATTCTTGGCTATATTGGTACCCATAGCATCAAACACATCCTACAAAATGAGAAACTGAACTAACCATTAATTTAACACTTTTAGCCATATGAACTAGATTTGTGGTGGTGTAACACAATGTAAAAAAACCCAGATAATTATATGCTGTCTATAAGTCCTTAAAATGTCAATTTTGTCCTTAGCACTTAAAATTTAAAGTGAGTTAAGGTTAAAATAGACAAGTAGAAGAAGAGATTAGAAATAAGGTTAGAGGACAAAAGGGGATCACAGTAACATTGAGAAACTGGTGCAGAAGACTGGAGGCAAAGAGAGAAGGAAGAGATAAAAAGAAGAAAAGAACAGAACCACAACCACAAAGAGGCTTGAGATCATGTTCACACTCATATAAAAGCAAGATCAAACAATGAAGGAAAAAGGAAAACAAAATCAAAAACAAAACCACAAAAAGAAAAAAAATCTACTTGTTTCTGCTGTTACTGGTAGACAGTATGTGGAAATACAGTTCCGATCCATGCCAATCTGTACCAGCAAGCCAGTGGTAGCATTTTGATGGGGTAGTGGATCATCTCAGTGAGCCTGCCCTTTGTGAGACCAGACTCATTCAGCCTGCAGCCATCCACACACCTTCTGCGGGTCTGAGCCCAGCTGGGAGCCACTAGATGGAGCTGGCAGCAGCTCTGAGTTCTGAGCTCAGTTGGCCACTCTCCAAGATAGCTCCCACCTAATTACTGTCTTGCATGAAAGACTGAACCCTTGGCAGTCACCACAAGCCAGTGGAGTCCTCCACATCTGCTGCTTTCCTCCACTGCTGTGTCTGACCTTGGGGGCCTATGGGGTTGCCAGCTGTCATCCTGTGTCCACAGGTTAGCACTGCTTCTCTCACCCAGTAAGTCCCATCTTGGAGAAGGTGCCACCATCTACCTTCTTCTTCACTGAAGTTTCTCTCTTTACTCTCTCCGTGGGCTTCAGTTCACACTTCAGATTCTTCTGGGGTTCAGGGGACCCTCTTCCTTCCTTCTTGTCTTCCTTGCATGGTATTCCAGTGTCTGGATAGGGAGGCTGTTTTCCTGCTGCTCACCACTCCACCATCTTGGTGCTCCCCCTATCTTGCCCTTCTTTCTTATTCCTTGAAGATGTAGCCATGGAAAGGGCTTTCTGAACAGAACCTTAGTTGCCCAAGAAATACCAAGAACCAACAAATGAGATTCTAGAGAAATTTAAAAGTTACATGGCAGAAGAAACAGTCAACAGAATGAAGAATCAACTCACAGAACGGAAAACAGTTTTTGCCAGCTACTCCTCAGATAAAAGATTAATGTCTGGAATATATAAAAAACAAAATTAGAACCACCCAAAGTAGAAAACCCAATAAAAAGCAAGCAATTGAAATGAATAGACACTTCTGAGGAGAAGAACAAATAGCCGATAAATACACAAAAAATTGTCCAGCACCTTTGACCACTGGAGAAATGCAAATCAAAACAACACCAAGATCCCATATTATACCAGAAAGAAAGAGTCTCTTTCTTCCAGAACAATCTTTAAAAAGATCTGAGCTCTTTGCGGCAGGTTCACTAGAAGAAAATAGCATATTTGTGAACTTCAGGTTCCTTGGAATCACAGCAATGTTCACCAAAACAAGGCAACTGGAGTGTCTCTTTCCCAGAAGGATAACAGACTGTGGAGTGTCCCCCTTAGGACAATGTTCATCCTATGTTTAGGGTGACCCACTCTTCATTGGAATGTGAAACTTGGTGTAATGGAAAGGTGACAGTTTCCTCCTGTTTCTCTTCTGCCTCCTTATCCCTTCTGTTCTTTGTGACCTGGCTTGTTCAGTTAGAAATTGTTCGTTGTTACAGGAGGAAAAGAACCCTGTAATGGGATATGGAAGACGCCACATGCCCCCTGAGTGGTGTCCCAGAGAGGCAGTGGGGCACTTACTGTGAACCAGGCAGTGCACAGGGGTCGTGCTTAGGAGTCAAGGGCAGGTGGGGTCCTGTTGTTGGGACCACAAGTGCCTCACCTGACACAGGCGCCATTGCACTCCCAGCAGTGCCCAGTGGTACAACTACGAGCTAGTGAAGGCTGTGAGCTTTTCCTCAGTGGGCATCAAGCCCTTTGTGGTGTTCTCTGTCCTTCCCTGTCACCCCTTTTTAATCCACATTTTTACAAACAAGCACTCCGAGTCCTTGGGGATTGTAGCAGGTGCCAGCCAGTGAGGCCTGGATGTGTTCCAGACTGAGGCTTTGCTCATGAACCCCCTAGAGGCACTTGGCAGCCCTTTGGGGTTACTCTCCATGCTGCTCTCCATCATGGGGACTTGCCAAAGGGCCTTAGCCAGTAAGAATCACAGAAACATTCACACCTGGGCTTTCTGGCTCTGAATCTGGTGTTCTTTCTATTACATTTTATGACAACTTTCTGTACTCAAGGCTTGTTACCATTGGTCTCTCACTTCTGTTTTTGCTTTCTCCTTTGGCATTTCTTCAGTCTTCTGTGAGCTTGTATTCCAGTGCACTTGGTCCATGCCGTGCACGGGTACCCCGTATAGTTCTGAAGGTTCGAGGACACAGCATTGGCATCTCTTGGGTGTCTGGAAGACTCATGGCCAATGGCATCTGAAAGGATGTGTTTGGTCATCCAGACACAACATTGTGCTAACTTAGTGTCTCTGCCTGCATCCCAGCATCTCGAGGGACAGAAATATAGGTTAGTGAATGGGTTCCTTTTACATCAACTCTGTCTTCCCCAGAAGTCCCTAGTAGACTTCTATGTGTCCTGACTAGACTGGGCCAGATGTTCTCCTGGCCAGTCCCTGGTAGAGACAAGATTACCATGAAAGTTCTGGCTTGGTTGGTGCTTCTGCCTGCCACGTACTGCTTCTCAGCATACCTCTGTCTGTCTGGACCTAAGGAGAACTGAGAATACTATAACGAAGACAGAAGTGGCCGTTTCACACCCAGTTTCTACTTTTGGAGAGTGTGAGTGTATGTGCTCCATCTGGGTGTCCTCCAGATTTGCTGGGTTTACCATTTGCAGAGAGGTACAGAAGTGGCGAGCCAGCCCATGCATGTGTGTCCATCACCTTAGGGATGGTTACATCTGTCCACTTGTCTTGGAAGCAGTCGGGCAGATGTCACACCCATTCCCAGCATAGCTGCCCCTGTTTAGGTTTCCTGCAGATTCCTCAGGACAGAGAGCAGGCAGAGACCCCAAGAGAAAGCACCACAGCACCATCCCCGTGCTGGGGCCCCAGCAGAGGTGAGTTGAGGACAGGGGGTGGGCCCCAGTTAGGATCGGACTTCACAGCAGCTACTTCCCCTTCTCACCAAGCCTGAGGATGCCTCATGTTTCTGGCTAGCCAAAGAAAGTAAGTCTTAAATAATACCTGATAGTGGTGACTGGAGTAGTTACTCTTCCAGGTGGCCTAGAGCATTCATTCCTCTGATCTCCTGGACACTGGAGAGCAAGTCTGTGTCACATTCATAGCACAGGTTCCAGCCTGGCCAGCTGCAGAGTCCAGCCCCAGGTGATTCACTTTTCTGCCCCTTGGCTTTCTCTTTCATACATCAAGAATAATAATAGTGTAGTGCAAATTCTTGGTGGACTAATAAACACAAAGTGCATAGTCACACGTGATAAATGTTAGTTGCCCTTCTTGCCACTTTTCAGAATGAAGAAACTGAGTTAGCTCAGAGAGTCAGCTTAGCAAACGTCAGGCAGTTCCGAGTAGCAAGAAGCTCATTCGAGCCCCAGCCATCTAACTAGCTATCTGCAGTAGGAGCTGGGGTGCCCAAGAAGGACAATAAATTCCCAGCCAAAGACTCAGATGTACTGTTTGTAAAGAGTCTCCAGCCAGTGACCACCAAGGCATGGTGTAAGGCTTCCAACACCTGATCATTTCCAGAAGGTGTGGGGGACACTAACATGAGGTGTGGAAGAAAGGGTATACACTGGGATGGAATGGGAGCGCCATTCTGGTCAGGCTCCTACTCTGTGTCTCTGTGGGAAGGGTTTGCGATTGGCTGTAAGTGAAGTATAGTCAGCGGTCTTGGCTCTGGAGGGACAGCGGCTGCTGCTTGCTCCTTTCTGATCTCCACTCACACTGATGGGCACCACCATCTGTCCCAGTAAACTCATTATAGTGTCTCTTCGTTTTAGGGGCAAATAAACGCGGCAGCTGTCAGCCATGCATCACTCGTGTGCACCATTTCCACACCTGCTCGTGTTCAGCCTAGGCCTGGGGGTGCTCAGTCAGAAGGGAGGTGATAGGCTGAGCCATGGGGCTCCAAGCAGAAAGGATGTGGGTTTCAAAGCCTGGATTTCCTGCCGCCCCACAAGCCTTTTGAACGTAATTCTGATGACTAAGGATTCAACATTCTTAATTTTTAAAATCCAAATGTTCCTGTCTTTCTTCCTCCCTGCCTTTTCCCCTTTCTTTCCCCTCCTCTCTTCCTTTCTCTGTCCCTCTCTCCCCTCCCACCTGTGTGCCAGCCCCCAGGATCACCTTTCAGGCACCACTCAATGCCACCCATGTCTTGTCCCACACCTTGGAGACGTTTGCTCCCCCCAGGCATGGTGACCCCCTGGGAACTCCCTCATCCCCAGCAGCTCTAAGATCACTTTCCGGCCTGGTTACCTGTTCAACCCACTGCCCAAGCCAGCCCAGGCCAGGCTCCAGAGCAGCTGGGAAATGCAGCCGCTTCCTCTACGTTTGTGCAGTGCTCACCGTCTGCATGAGCCATGGACACCAGGCTGCACCAGTGTCCCCTCGCCTATGTGGAGGATCGAGGGAAGGACCTGATTCTCCTCCCAGCTCTCCTCAGGCTGGTGCCAGGCAGATCGCAGACTCTGTCCAGCAGCCCAAAACATGTGGGGATAACAAGCCTCTTTTCTTTCCTTTTTTCTCTTTTTTTAGGTGAGATGTTAAGCAGCTAGCAAAAGTCACACAACTGAGAAGCTGCCAAGAGGGAAGCCCACATGCTCAGGAAATCCCAGGTTCCTGCAGCTCTCCAAGAGCCTGTAGGTAAACGCCCTTCCTCCTGGTGGCTGGGGACGCCTTCTCTTCTCTTCCCCTGTTTGTCTGAGAGTCTAATCCTGCCTTTTCCTTTTCAGGAGACTGTAACACACCTGCTCAGAAGGCAAAGGCAGCAGTCACATTGACCAAGAGAGAACTGAAGGCTTTTCCAAAGCACTTAGAAGACACTAGAACTGGAAGGCGGAGCTTAGCAAATGGCCTCAGTCCCTCAGAGAGGAGCGTGCATGAGACCTCTCACCAGTGGCTGCGTCACTGCCAGGCTATCTTCATTGAATGTGGGCTTGACAAATAGTTGGTCTGGCAACTTTATTTTCAACTAAACTTGTTGAGCTGCCCAGATTTCTAAAGGGTTCCATTAAGATGGCTAATCATATAGCAGTTGCTACAAAGAGATATTTGCACTCAATTTCAGCTCTGAGGTAATTCAGATCAAATGTTCTCTTTATATTTTTTCCTCCCCGGAGCTGCATGCAGCCATCTTCCTCTCACACTGCAGGCTTCCCATGAGTTATTTTTAGAAACCCAAATCAAAACAGCAATTTTGGTGGAGGCCATTTGTAACCTAGCAGAGTAAACCATATGTCTGATAAAAAAACAGCCAAAACCACCTCCCTGGTTGTGGGGTCAGATGTCTGGGAACTGCGGACTGACCTTTATACTATCACAGTCAAAGGCACTGGCACCACCTTTAAAATGACAAAGGGTTTGTGCCTTTGTACACCATGACAGCTCTGGCAGCATTTCCCAGAGCTCTGTTTTGGTCTCTGGGTCTCTGATGGAATATCAGGTTCTGCTCTGCTTTCTGCTCTGAAGCAGCACACATGAATGTGCGTCCCTGTGCTTGCCCCACGGGTCACCCCCTGCCCTGTAATCAGATTGTAAGGTGGAGGATAGAGCCTGTGGCATGCCTGTATAGTAGGTGCTCAGATATGTAGATTAAAATGCTATTCACTGTCTCGTTTTTTAAAAATGTGTCTTTTTTATTACATAGATACTAAGTGAATGTATTTATCTTAGAGCAAAAGTCTTTTCCAAATAAGGCTGAATGTCCTGTAATTCACCATCTCCAACCCTTGTCTCCTTGTTACATAGTATTTGTTCTGGAACATATCTTTGCACTGCTGCACATGTATGTGACACACACGATCGCTACACCTGTGATAAATGGAATAATACAAAGCTTCTCTATTAAGGGCTCCTGTCCACATCAGCCACCTCTTCCCTTTGAACAGCTACAGTTTTATCATACTGAGCAAATATACCACCTTTGCTTTGAGCCAACTAAATTCTTTTACCTACTTTCCCCATTAGACCCATAGGTCTGTTCTCATGTGTAGGTTGACCAGTTAGCTATGTACACTGCTATCTATGTGGCTACATCATGTACTGTTAAAATCAGCCACCTGCCCAGGAGGTTATGCCAAACCAGGAGACAAAAGTATGCAATATAAGGGTTGCCAATGAGACCAAAATTCCTTTGCTCTGAACCTAGGAAAGGATTGTGCCCTGGGAATTCCCCAGTGGTGGAGAGGGGGTGCTCACAGCCAGGTGTTCCTGGGTGCATCCTCTGTTCCCCTAGATCTTATCTTTCTCATTTGCACAGTGGACTCAGGTAACCTTTTCAAGCCGTAAGCTATGGATAATAGGTCTTTCCCGGTGCCACAAGATTGCCCTGCAGACTGTACAGTTGGCTCTCTGCTGTCCATGGGCTGGAAGTAGCAGTTCATGACACACCCCAACCTAAAGCTCCTCCTGAAACCACTTCTCAAAGAACCTAGGAGACACTGCCTTGAACTGTACTCTTCTTTGCTATTGTTTGTCATTCCATTAAAATTAATATTATAATTTTGGCTTTGTTTGGTCTTTTTATTCACTGTAATGCAGTAAAGTGACAGGGAGAGATTATGGAGCCCTGAGTTTTGCTACAGGTTTGTCTAATTCCAGCTGTGTGTTTTTAGATCCATCATTTACATTCTCTGGTCTTTCATCTGTTAACATCCCATTTCTAACTTAGCCAGGTGCACACTAAAATAACATTCAAACATTGAAAGCCACGCCTATGTGTGTTTCTCCTGGCATTTCCCAGTCTGCTGTCACCTGCAGATGGCTCATCTTGTGAACTAATGAGGCACCCTAACAAACCCATGAAACTGTGCTTCACAGGAGTGCTGTGCAGCTGTCCTGGGCCCTGGTGACACCGGCTGAGTCCCACAGAGGGCTCTGAGAGAGGCCCAGGGCAGGCTATGAGCTGCTCTGATCCAAGGGCTGGTGGCAAGGAGCACATTCCCTGCTATGAGCCCCTGCTTCACAGTGAGTGGTGGCCCCATCTCCTTGTGCGGTTTTCCTGTGGACTGAGGGCCTTGACCTCACACGTGGGTCTAGAGACAGCATGGTTCTGCAGGTGCAAGGTCAGTGTGACTGGTATGAAAGCCACCGGGAGCCAAGCACATTGGTCTCTTTGGCTGTCTTGGTCCTGACTGCACTGTGCTTCTACTGTGAGCTGTGGTTCCTGACAGCTGCCTTGGGTACGGCTGTGTCCCAGCCCAGCAGCTTCCGGCAGGAACAGCAGATTCTATAGTGCTCTTCACTTTGAACTCCTGTAGCCCAGCAGCTGAGCCCTCCTGCCCTGCGAGGCTCCATCATAGGAGCCCAGACTCAGCAGGGCCCTTCCTTCCTTTTCCCTTCTTACCTGAGAAATACCTAACCTTGTAGACTATGCATCTGTAACTGAATTTCTGAGCACCACTGTTGGTGTTCTTCAGATCAACCCGAATAGAATCAAAAGGCAGCATGGCATGGAGAAAGCATCGCTAGCAAGGGTTATGTCCCAATGAGTGTAGACCAAAGTGAATCAATAAACAAAGGGATGGCGATTGGCTGGCTGCGCTCTGCAGCTGCTTTTCATTAGAATAAAGTGCTTTCGATTTTGGTTTGCACTGTTTAGCCCCCTGTACACATGCACGCACGCATGTAACCACATACACACTGCTTCACCATCATCCAAGCCATCAGTGTCTCTGGCGCTGTGTTTACTCATAACCTGGAGACTCAGAATCGAGTTCACCTACCCTGTGACTCATAGACCTTTGCACCAAAATGCTTGAGCCTGCCAGGATAAGATGGTGGAGAACCCAGATCAGTTCCCTGCCCAAAATAGTCGCCTTGCCTGAGCAGGGAGGGCTTGCAGGTGGGGTTGGCTCCAACCTGCACTCCGAGAGTTGTCATAGAGGGTACTCAAGGTGGACAGAGCCCCCATCCCGTTCACCCCATGCTGACGCGGTGCTGGTTCTCCCTTCTGGCCACCGCCTCTCCTGTGTTTAGTGCAGCTCTCCACCATCAGAAATGCCCCAGCTTGGAAGATCTCAAATAAATACCTAATAAAAGAGTTGGCTGAGGATATATCTCAGGGGTTAAGGCACCCCTAGGTTCAATCCCTAGCATCACAAAACAAGGAAATACCTCCATCAAGGCCAGAGATGTCATTTTTTCCCAAGTGCATCTCCAGGGCTGATGTTCAGAAAAGCACCAACGAATATATGCTTCTAGGCTGAGAGATGACTGAACAAGCGGATTTGTAACCTCTTCTTTGAGCATCTCCACTCCCCATTGGCCATCAGATGCCTCCAGCACCTCTGGTGAGCAGTTCTGTGTTCCCATAAATGTCTCCGGACAAGCTTCAGGCAAGAATTCTTTGGCTGAGCGTAAGCAGCCTTATAGCATGTAGCTTCGGAGCCGGAGGAGGGGGAGGAGCAGTGGCTTCCATGGGGCAGGCGCCCAAGAAGGTGCAGGAGAGAAGAGTGTCCATGGTGCCGCTACCAGACCACGTGTCCTTTCCTTCCACTGTAGCTGTCACAGACTCTACATACATATACATATATGGGAGTGCTTCTATCAGAAATACTGTAGGAAATTGGAAAGAGAATATGTCATAGTTATACCACCCTTGGTAGTGTAATAGTCATCATTATCAAGGCGCTGAAACCCATCTGTGTCCTCTGGTAGCTCTTTACACACGCGTTACTTTAAGGTGCTTTCCAACTTTTTTCCGCTTGTGTTTCCCCAGAAGCAGTGCCCACCACGCCCTGTTGCCTTTTTAACCACTATTTTTAAATTTTCTTTCATCCTCATAGTTGTTACTGGTGACTATAGATTCCTAACTTTCCTGTCCTAGTATCTCCCATGTCTCAAGAAAATCTAGAAACTGAAGCCTTGTTTTAAAGGGTATGAATATTGGTGACCTAGTAAGGGAATAGACTTTATTTTGAGCTATTATAGATTTACCAAAAAAATTGAGTGGAAAATCCAGTTTCTATATGCTCTCTCCTTGCCCCTTCATGTACCCTGTCAGCATTTTCCATTACATTACTGCATTTGTTATAATTTGTGAACCAATATAGATGTGTTGTAACAAGTCCATGGTTTACATTGTTTCTCTGTATTATATATACTTATGTGTTTTGATAAATGATATTATGTGATATTATGAATCCACTGTGACAATATCACACAGACTAATTCAACTGTCCTGGAAATCCAGTGTTTCTCCTACTCCTTATCTTTTGTGTGTGGTTTTTGTTTGTTTGTTTGTTTGTTTGTTTTTATAGTGGGAATTGAATTCAGGACCTTCCCTTTGCCAGGAATTCACTTGTGCTGCTTTTTTTTACCTTCTTATATCACCTATCTACTATGGCTCCATAGTTTTGCCTTTTCCAGAATGTCACATGATGGTTGCAGTCAGATGATAGTTATCCTCTTCACATTGGTATCTTTCACTTAGTAATACGCATTTAAGTTTCTCCCATGTCTTCTATGGCTTGCTAGCTCGTTGTTCTTTATTTTGTTTTTTGTACCAGGGATCAAACTCACAATCTCACACTTGCCAGGGAAGTACTTACACTGCAGAGCTAAGTCCCCGGCACTAGCCCATTGTTCTTAGCGCTTGGTAGTATTCCACTGTTGGAAAGTACCACAGTGCATTCAGCCACCAGGACATTTTGGTGGCCTCCAGGTTTTGTAATGTTCAATAAAGGAGCCATAAACATCTGTGGAGGTTTTTGTGTGGATATGTTTTTAACTCACTCTGGTAAAAGCTAAATCCTGCCTCTTCATGTCTTTTAGTGTGTTTAGTTTTCTAAAAAACTGTCAGGCTGTCTTCCAAAGTGCCCATAATGTTCTGCACTCCCCCACCTCAGCAGTAAGTTTCTGTGACTTCATATCCTCCCCAGAACTTGGCAAGGTTAATATCCTAGATTTGGTCATGCTAAGAGCTGTGCAGCGGTAGCTTGTTTTAATTTACAGCTCTAAACACACATGATGTGGAACATCTCTTCACATGTTTAGTGATTTGCTTTTGGTACATGTCCTTTGCAAGATGTCTTTCTGAGCCTTAGCTGTGTGGGTGCACATTCCAAATGGTTTTTTTCTGGTTTTTCATTGGTTGTGCGGATTAATGGGTTTCATCTTGACAGACTCATGCATGCACATGAAACATATGTAGTCACCTGCTCCTCATCTCTCTCCTCGTCTGCTCTCCCCCAGAATCACACTTGCGGGCTCAATGTTCTCAATATCTTTTGCTCATCCATCTACCCTGTTCCCACCCACCCTTTCCCCTTATCCACTTCCTTTTTCCTAATAATGGAATCTATTATTTTGTCATATTTTTAGATTCCATGTATGAGGGAAAACACGCTTTGTCTGAGTCTGGCTTTTTTCCTCCCTGCCCCACTGTGGTCTTTTGAGACAGGGTCTCACTGTGCAGTTCAGGCTGGCCTTTAACTTGTAACAATTTTGTCTCAGTGCTGTGATTGCAGGCATGTGCCACTATGCCCAGCCTCATTTCTCACTGAGGTTTAAACAATCCTGAATAACAAGGGCAAACCAGGAAATAGCTCAATGCTAGAGTTGTAGTTATACTACAAAGCTACAGTGATAAAAACAGCATGGTACTAGCACAGAAACAGAGATGAAGATCAATGGAACAGAATAAAGGAAGCAGAAATAATTCCATGTACATTCAATTATTAGATCTTTGACAAAGGGACTAAAAACATAACTGGAGGAAAGATAGCCTCTTTAGTAAATGGCACTGGGAGAACTGGCTGTCCACATGCAGAAGATCAAATCTAAATCCATAACTCTCACTATGCACTAAACTAAAGTTAAAATGTATCAAAAATCTAAATGTTAAAAGAGAGACATCAACCTGCAGGAAGGCAAGAAATTTCTAAACAGAACCCTGGTTGTGCAGGAAATACAGCCAATGGGATCATATCAAATTAAAAAAAAAATTCTGCACAGCAAAACCAACACTGAGAAGACAAGCTACAGATGGGAATCTATGTTTTAGTAGCCATTCCTCATACAGAAGACTAACATCTAGAATATGTAAAGAACTCAAAAAAATTAGACACTCCCCAAGATTAAAGACCAATAAAAATGTGAGTAAAATGAATAACCACTTCACAAAAGAATTACAAATAGCCAATAAATATATGAAGAAATGTTTAACATCACTGGCCATGGAAATGCAAATTAAAACAACACCAAGATTCCATCTTACCCCAGAAAGAAAGTTTATCATCAAGAAACTGAATAACAGATGCAGTCAAAGACTGGGGGGGGGGGGATTATAGTATTGATGGGAGTGCAAGTTAGTACAACTACGAAGATCAGTATGAAGATTCCTCATAATACTAAAATCACTTGACCCAGTTATTCCTCTTCCTGGTATCTTCCCAGAAAGTTAGAAACATCTATTACAGTGATCCACGCATACTTTTGTTTATAGCAGCACAATTCATAATAACTAAATCTTGAAAGTAGCCTACATGTCCATCAATGGA